CGGGCTTTAAACTCGTCACTACTACTACTACTACTACTTTGGTCATTGTTTTTGCCCTCTGGTCTGCAACAGGTATGGGGTCCACGCAACATATAGTATGTTCCATAATCACTGGCAGGTGCTGGTTACCACTCGCTGTCTGTGGAAACGGTTCCATCACACCCACCGACCATAGATCACTGACCGCGGTTACCGGGACTAACTGTAATGGTGGCTGTGTGTATCGGTCGTTTTTCATTAGTTGGCACTACTGGCAAGTTAACACGTATTGGTTGACATCGTCTCTCATGCCTGACCAGTATGCACTTTGCCGCAGTAAATCCGTCGTTCTTGTGATACCTGTATGCGCCACATGGGCACACTCCTGTATCATCTTGCTCCACCAGTCCTTCGGGATCACAACTCTCCAATATTTTCCATAGTCCTGTGTGATGTTTAAATAAATCAATGACTTCCTAGTATTGATGACTGTTGTAATTTTGAATTCCAAATACAATACATTCGTTCGGGCTCATCTGATACTTCTTGATTAAATTGCGTTATTCCTGGGATTACTAGTTTATACTACAATTCAAATACTACTAATTATCATATTGGCGTCGCGACTGAGCCTGTGATGGAACGGTTAAATATAAATTCAGATTTTAATGCTTTTGAGGAGTACATGGAAAGGTTCGAAATCTGGGCTATGACCAAAGAAGATGATGAGGATTTTAATATTGTGGCCCATTTCCTTACATTCATCGGGAAAGAAGCATACAGCCTTATAAAGATTTTGGCACTTCCAGACAAACCGATTTCACTCCCCTATGCAACTCTCAAGCAACTGCTATTGAATCATGTAAAGTATACAAATTCCGAATGCGGTAAGAAAGGAAAATCCGATAAAATGACTTGTCAGAACATCAGGAATTCCACTTATTCAAACAGTCGTCGTAGTTCGATGCGTAATGAAAGTTATTCAGACAATACTTCATTGAGTTGTGAAACAGTCCATGATGTTGAGCACGAGTTTAGTAAATGCATATTCTGCGGCAAGTTTCACCCATGTAATTCATGTATATTTCGTAATTCTAAATGCTTTAAATGTGGTATAACTGGACATATTCAGTCAGTTTGTAATACCATGGTTCATTTCGCTGAAAGTAATGCTAAGATGGATGCTTCTAATGATCAGTTATCTTTATTTAGAAGTGGTATAACGTCACATAGCAGTCCAGAGTTAACTGAAACTCAGAATCATTGTGAGACAAAAAATGTTAACCAACAAACTTATCGGATTTCTCATGATATTGAACCAGATATGGTTTGTCGTAATAATTCACATACTTCTGATGGAATTTCTTACAACTCTGAGAATAGAATGTTAAATGAGTCAAATCATGATCAAAAACCAGATTCAGTCTTGGTAGATGCTGAATTCCCTGTTGATTCATTATTCTTTAATGAAACTCTTAATCCATTTGAGGAAAATATTTCAGAGAAATCAAATTCTGATATCATATCAAGTGTCAGTGGTCCTCACAATGAATTTATCTCTAATGATATTCCTCATGAATATGACAAATATGTTTCTTATGAGTTGAATTCTAGTCATATTTCTGATGTTATTGTGTCATATGTTGGATACTCTCACGAACAATGCATGTTGAATAGAATCCCTAGTCAGGGGTATAATGAGACAGAGGGGATAGCAAAATTTTCCGAAACAACCAGAGAACCAGCTTGCCCAGAAGTGAAGCTTGCACAGACAGAGAATCCAAATCAAATCCAAGATTATCCTAATGAATATGAGGCAGATGGATGTTTTCTATCCGATTGTTTCGCAGGTAAATCAAGCCTAGTTGAATCACATATGTTAATTACATATATCAATGCATATCCATCTGTATATTCTAATATGAATAACAAAAAGTATATGTATCATGATTTTTATTCAAGTCAAAGTCACATGATGGAATACTTCGAATTATATATCAGTGTTTATTCCCAAATACTCATATACAGTAGTCGATGAGTGAGATTTGAGAAGATACTGCAAATTGGAAATGTCATATTGGCTAAAACATAAGGATCCAACATTATTTCGTGGGGGAGGATATTGTTGGAAAGTCCATGATGCAAATTCTAAATATCAATGGTTTCACTACACAACCGACATGCTGATTGTATACAATTCTAGAACCCAGGTGAGTCTGTTCCAATTTCCGTTGTTAATTCTAATACTAATGAGTGCATTCTAGATAATACAGAGTGTACATTCAATACACCATCGGACAGATGTAGGATGAACTTAAGAAGAAGACAAACAATCGATTACAGACACTTACACCTCAATTCGAGCTGTGGCGGATGTGATGTTTAAATAAATCAATGACTTCCTAGTATTGATGACTGTTGTAATTTTGAATTCCAAATACAATACATTCGTTCGGGCTCATCTGATACTTCTTGATTAAATTGCGTTATTCCTGGGATTACTAGTTTATACTACAATTCAAATACTTCTAATTATCATATCCTGCCAGATCGGGGCTCCATATACGTTCACTGTCAGTCTTTCCTTTTGTCAAAGTAACATTACGAAATCTTTATCCAGTGCTCGTTTTCGACGTCTGTACCATCTTTTATCACTCTGATTACCTCTCGAAGTTTAGGGTCAGCTTTCTGCTGCCGGACAAGTTATAGTGGGTCTCCCTCTATACTACTTACTGCGTATGCTGTTAATGGAAGCCGAGCTTCCGTGTCTGATTCCGACAAGTAGTCCGCCATTACGTTTTCATTCCCTGGAACATGGCCGATACTGAATTCGTACTCCTGCAAACGCATCATCCATCGCGCCAACCCCCCATGGAAGTCTCCTGCTATTTTCAGCCACTGCAGAGGTTTATGGTCAGTCATGACGTGGGGTCGTCTACCGGGTGAATGAACGCGACTCGCGTATTCCACCACTCTATCAGATTAGCTCAAGACGGCACCTATACCATGACCACTTGGGTCTGTGGCCACTGTAAACTGTTTCTCCGGTCCAGGCAGTTTGAGCGTCATCTGGCGGCCGTCTGGCATGTTTTTGATTCGGTTGAATGTTTGTTGGGTGGTCTCAGTCCAAGTAAACTTAGTGCTGCTCAACACCTTATATAGGGGTGCTGCTACTTCTTTGAAGTTCTTGAAGAGCCGACTGTAGAACGTTTCCCATCCGAAGAACTGTCTCAATTTCTTTCTCAAATTAGATACTGTAACGTTCTTTATGGTTAGAATTATCTCCAGCAGTGGTTCTATTTCTCCATTTCCCAATTTAAGTCCCAACATCGTGATGCTATTTTTCGCTATCTGCGACTCGTTCTTATTAATTCGAAGTCAAAATTCGTCAATTCGTTTTAAGACCGCTTCCACATGCTAGACGTTGCCTGTTTCTATAGCTGTACACAAAAATATCGTCACCATACACCTCAAAGTTATCTAGAACCCTGAGTAGCAGCGTCATCAATCTTCTGAACGTAAACAGTGCACTCATCAACCCAAACCGCATTTGTCTAAATTGATACTGTTTATCAAGTGCAATAAATGCTGTCTTGTTTCGATCGCTCCCTTTTATAAGCAGTTGCCAATAACCTGACGGCAAATCCAGAATTGTAAACACCTTGGCATTCATCAGCCGATCTAATGTTTTCACTACTGTTGGCACTGCGCAAGGTTTCAGTTTTGTTTATATTATTTAGTTCTCTAAAATCAACATAAAATTTATACTTTCCATTCGGTTCCTTAACCAAGAGTGCAGGCGAGCTATACGGGCTCACCGCTTCCTCAATCATACCTTTAAACATCTCCTGAACCTGTCGATTTTCCTCAGGCTTCAGGTGCACAGGGACACGACGTGTTGAAAACATATTTACTCCATCGTTCTTTATCAGGATTTCCTGCTCTACTTTGTCACAAAGTCTGTACGGCTCTTCATCTCCCGTGAACAGTTTCGTATACTTTGTGTACAAGTCGTTAATGTTTAATTTCTTCGTTGGAACGTCTGTCGTCACTCTTATCTCGGCCACTTCGCCACCCTCATGTATTGGAAATGAACCAGACTTTGTGACCACCTTACCGCTTCTTAAGTCAACTATTGTTTTTACTTCTCTTAGGAAACCTGCCCTAATATCGACCTGGATAGACTTGTGGTTACTACGAATGGGAAATTTATCTAAGCATCACCCGCTCCAACAATACTGTTAGACACACCCAACACCTGAGGTAAGATGGTGGTTGGAGGTGGTCAACAGGAAACCCTGGACCCGGGTTTCGTGCTACTTGGCACTCGTCAGCAAGCTGTACCTGTAATCCTGAGGGAACTGATGCTCCCTGGCGTATTCGATCCCGCGTCACTCAGCTTCACAGTCAGAGACGTTACCACTCCGTGACTGCTTCCCATGTCGTCTTCCCGCCAGCACCGTCCAAGCCGTCATACACAGCCTTCACTAGGACAATATGAGGCTTGGTTATGTAAAGTTTCTCAGAAAAATAAACTTTGTGACAAGTCTATGAGGAGTGAAATTCATTCGAAAAATGTGATTACTCCATTGGTCAAAACTTTTGGAAGAAAGATAAAACTTACCTTTGGTGGAACGTTACCTTGTTAAAATACTTTGAATCTATTCTATTTAATGGTTTCAAGTGGTTCTAGACAGAATAGAAGGAACATTCGCCTAATGGGCTTTGGTATCTAGTAGCAGTGGACCACCGATGACGCTAGATAGGAACCTAGGTGCATTTAACAGCGAAAGAGGAGAAAATATCAGTAAACTTTAGTGAGATATTGATCTTAACTCTTAAGAATATGTCAAATAATCATGTTGAATAATATTTGGTTTTTTTTGGTAAATGAAATATCAGAACAAGTGTCTTTGTCTTTCTTTGCCTATAACTTCCCTGAGTACAATAAACATTAATCTTCAGAGAAGTTCTATTGACGGGTTCTGTTTGAAAAGGATTGGCGATTGAAGGGTTTGTTTGAGTTTATGTTTGGGGATCTGCAGCGGACTCTTGGATCTGCGTCTTCTTGTGATCTGAAGGACTGTAGTGATTATCATGCCCGATTACTCTATGACAGCTTTTTCCATTACTAAATTCTTTTAAACGGCTTATGGTTCATCCAATTTAAATTCGCAATGTCGGTTAGGAGGTATACTGATCCTGTATATCTCCAGTTTGTGTGGAATGCAATTGAAGCATGCTCAAGAGATTCCATCGAGTCTTCTTTCCACGAATTGTTGTCCTTTATTCAAAGAGAATGTGATTCTAGATGCACTGCAGGGAAACTGCAAAATGAACTCTCAAATGCCATAAGCGATGGTTGTATAGAGTGTAACCAACGCTGTTATGTGAAACGCGACCCAATGCCCAAAACGAAGGATAAACATGACTGGTAGGTTAGGCTTTTAGACCTGAGCCCCGATTCAATATCTGTATTCTCCCTTTTGAGGTTATTAAGCATTTTTAGTGGCTTTTATGTACAATATCCGCTCGTTTTCTCAGCTGACAACGTTATTCATGTTGTAACTGAGTATCACTTTTCAGGGAATAGTTGTTTAGTAACGTAAACATTACACATGGCCTCACGTTTCTTAAGATGTCCAAACATCCCGGTGCAATAATTCCTATTTATAGTTTAAGGCGTTGAGGGTTTGTTGTTATGCCGATACAGGGAAGTTAGTGATAGTCACGTGGTTGTTTTCCAGACAACTATACCCATGTATGCTACTTCACTCAACTCTAGTTATCAAAGTAGTAGCTAATTGCGAATTGAATGGCTTCTTGCATCACTAGCTTACAAACGGATGGGGCAAGCATCCTCCAGAGGGAATAGGTACCAATGTCTCCCTTGCGACTTAGAGGCATCATTTTCATTTATTCTCCGTGATGTTGCACCGAACTGTTCCTTTAATTCACAACAGAGCTTCTATCACTTCAAAAGATAACTTATAGGCATCGGGAGTCTAGTATCAGTTCCACCAAAATGTTTATTGGAAATAAGCTCTTGGATTTGCCAATGTCACTGAGTATCTATGGGGCCCACAATGAAACATGAAATCACTAGTGCCAACGGTAGCAACTCAACTGCGCGATAAGTACATCCCACAAGTTCGCCATCCGCCCCACTCCCCATTTTTCGAAACATTCTGGAAACGAATCTAAAAACGATGTGACAGAAGTAGGATAAGCAGATTTGCTCAGTAAAAAACGAATCTTCAGCATGGCGACGATTTCATCTGACAACACAAACCCTGGTTCGTAATTAGATTACATAATATATATATATATATATTGTGTAAGTTTGTTAACAGGACTGGGAAAAGCTTTCCTATGCATTCACCTTTGAGCTCATTGAAAGGTTAGAAAATAAACATCCAAGTAAGAGCCGCATTAGCATGTACTGCTATGGACAATCTTTTGTCTCGATGTAATAATTGGCACGCGCGTACGTTTGCGGTTTTCTAGACTGGCTTTGTTTAGCTCTGAGAAGGGGTGTATAAATTCCAGGTGTAGATAACTTCAGCGCGTGCCATAAACCATGAAATTCCTGTCCTAGAGGTATTCAGTGGCTTTCCGTGACGAATCATCAGTTGCTGTAGTATTGCACATTCTGCAACATATGCTTTGGAATTCTAGTTTTTGTTCAAGTTACGTCTTCTAATTCTGGGGCATGTTTGTTACTTGACACCCCAACCATTTTCAGGTCATGAGTCACTTGTCTGATTTGATACTGCTTAAAAGTAGCTGAAGTGCAGTTGCTCAATGTTAGGATACGGCATGAATGCTGAAGACTTGCTTGGCATGTAGCCAACCAAGTTACCCATTGCTCGCGTGAGCTATTATTTCGCTTATGGAGTGAATACGAAGTAACAATGCACCGTTTACTGTTTTACAATATCAAAACGCAAACGTTGAGGTTAGTCATTTGTAAGTGAATATCCGGTTATTATTGTCCTCTCCGAGTTGCAAACCTGTGCGAAATCAAAGAGCTGAACACTTCAGTGGGCGAAGAAAAGGTTGTGAGCAAGTATTAAATGAAGTGGCTGTGCTACGTTAATTTTTTTATTTGATCACATAACCAATGGTACATGAGGGCACCAAACACATTTGTGCCGCACAATGGCAATGAGGTCAGTAGTGATTTATTTGAGGGCTGGAATACTGTACGGGTGCCCAAACCAAAGCAGGTGCTACGTACTCTGTGTGCACACAAATCGAATGAGATTTGTGAGGCGCATATTTATCTGGTGCTTCATTGTACCAATATTTATGTGTTTAAATAAATAAATAAAATACTCTGTGTGCATAAGTAGAACGTATGGTTCTTAATCAGAATGTTTTTAACGTTATTATTTCTAGTCCTTCAGTTGATTATTTTTCAACCATCTACCGGCAATGTAGTATTCATGACTTAGTACAAAGTCACGCGCTCCACGATTCGTCATCATGTGCTAACAAAGTCCTCTTAAGCTCCTCAATATTTTTGTTACGAAAACGGTTCCATAGAATATGGCGATCAGAGACGTACAAGATACTGTCTGGCTATCTCTGTCCACAAACGGTAATTTCATCAACTGATATTACCAAGTTGAACCAGCACCAATCGTCAGCCCCCGAAATGCCGTGGTACGGCCGAGAGTGGGGAGAGTCCTCTCCCTCTCGAAATGATCACATGGCCACGCGTATACAGCCTCTGTCAAGGAAGTCCTACTCACTGCCTTCTCGTGGCGGGGGTCTTGTTCACAACGGTGAGAGGACGTAAAGCAAATGTCCGGAGCTTTAACCGGGTTGGTGGACACGGCGAATCCACCTGGGAGAGTTGGAAAACCCTGATTTCAAACCAATGGTGCACATGGGCTCTATCCTGATGGAATGAATGGCGTATGAACCCATTGTTGGTCACCGGCTACCATGGGACTAGCATCTCGTTACGATGCTCCACTGCCTTGTGGATCAGACCTTTAGGTCAAAGGCTCCGGGTGTGGCCCCTTAAGAAAACCACCTGTTTCAGTTTGGGCACCTGAGCAATATCACAGCCCTCACACAAATCAAATGAGATTTGTGTGGCGCATATGTATCTGGTACCCCTTTGTACCAAAATTTATGTGCATAAATAAAATTTAAAAAATCAATCGTCAGCTATATTTTTAGGATCTATGATATGTCTCTAAAATATCGAAATTGGGTGGTCGTTGACCACATGAAACTATCAATCTATCCAAACGGCTTTATTCTCTACCGCATCTAAGATTCATTTACATAGTATTCAGCAGTGCAAAAACATACTGGATTTTTCGTTCCAGTAGTTAACATATCTATTTCCTCATTTTTGTCAGAATACTAGGAGTCGCTCATATACATATATATACCATTGGTTTGGAATCAGGGTTTTCCAACTCTCCTAGGTGGATACTCCATATCCAACAACCCGGTTAAAGCGCCGGACATTCGTTTATCGTCCTCTCAACTTCGTAAACAACAGTAATGCCGCGACAAGGCAGTGAGTAGGATTTCCCTGGCGGTGGCTGTATACGCATGGCCATGTGAGAGCATTTCGAGAGCTAACTCCCCCCACCCTCGACCGTATATATATATATGTATATATAGGTGGCACATTCATACTACAATACGGAATTCATTTGTCGACATCTCAGTATTATTTCTGGTTTACTACTTCCTTATGTTCATTTCTTTGTCTTCAAGTTGATTTCTACAGCTATCTTAATGCTAGATTTGACGCCTAAGAAATATATACATTTATGTCACATCTTAAGTCATTTTCTTTCTGCAGTCCCTAATTCTAGTTCAAACCTTACTGATTGTTATTTCTTAAATCGTTGGCTTTGTTTGGAATTTGGTGGTCGCTCCTGGGCCTCGTTTAAGAAAAAAACATCTCACCACAATAACTTATTTTGTTTCAAGTATTCTATCCAGTTCTTAGTCAACTAACACTTTCCTTTTTTCTCCCAATCCAGGTATTGCTTTGAATGTCACGGACCAGGTCTTGTTGTGTCTTGTCCAACTTGTTTCAGAGTATACCATCCCGATTGCTTACCAGTTGCCTTATCATCACAATTGTCTCGTGTTATACCGTGTGAATCTGGTGAATCCGAAGCCGATTCAAATATGTCCAGTGGATTCCCACCGATTAGCCCGTGTCCTGTTTGTCAGCGGCTGTCGCGAGCATCTAATATATCAAATCCTAGCACCCCATCGGAGTTGCATAAGATCTTCCAGGTTGTCCTTGATCGAATCCGCAACAAAGTGAATTGGAAAACTATGCAGGTTGTTGGGTACCTAAACGAACCTTTGCGAAACAACTACCTCGTATTACGGCAAATTAATACTCGTCTTATGACCGAACGTATGCGAGCAGATCCATCATCTAAAGATTGTTATCCTAATCGAACTTCCCTTCTGATTGATGTGGATTTACTAATTCATAACACCGCCATTTTTTACGGTTCTAAAAACGATATGAGCAATATGGCTCGACAGATACGATCTCAGCTAGAACGAGAATTGCGAGAATCTTCTTTTTGCATAGATTGCTACTTGCGTCTTCACTCAGCATCAGTAAATAAATTAACAGCACCTTGTCGAGTTGCTCATCGTCTCCTTTGGTTCCAACACAATGGGTGGTCCTTTCGCCCTTGTAAAATGTTATATCAGAGTACAGAGGGCTACGAAGTAGTTTGCTTTGGTGGACGACATGAGAGAGTTTTTGTCCCACTAGCGAGAGCATTCGATATGAATTTTACAGCAGATGAACTTGGTTTACGAGAAACACCACCTTTGAAAAAAGCACTGAATGAAGCTGAAGAGTACAAAACAAACCAAGCTATTTTTGATCGGCAAATGAAGAATTACTCTGATCATTCGCCAAACAAGATGCTGGCTGAACCTATCTCGATAGATTCGATAAGAAATAATCTAATCAATGAGTCTATATCTAATGGAACATTCCTGAAAAATGCTACTTCTCCCTCTTTAAGAAAGAAAAGACCTGGCAGGCATCCACTATCTACTAGATCTCACAATGAAGGCTTCAACGTATCGCCTGAAATGCAGGTTTTCAAATCTCGTAAATCCACTGGAACAAATTCACCAGTTTGGTGTCCTGTGTCACAGCATTCTACGTCTCGACGTGACTCACATTGGCCAGATACTATGAAGAATGTTACTGAAGGTAAGAGTAGTCACAAAGACTACTTTTAACATATGTACCCCGTACATTATTTTAACACCAGTCGAGAGCACTAAATAGTTATTGCGCTCTTAAATTCTGTTTGTTCATCGGTCTAAGAGATTTCGCTTTTAAAACTTTCATAATGAAATTCATCTTAAAGCTCAAGTAGTTGCTATTGGCCTCTTTTTATAGTCGGTAAAAATTAAGTTATGTATTTTTCAATAGAATCTGGCGTATCCAAATTTCCCTGTGTGAGAAAATATCAAGTTTTTGACAATTTTTTTGTCAGCTCATCAAAATGTCATTTAATCGATGATAAAAAGTTTCTAGATGCTTAGTACGTCAAACGTTTATTTTGTCTACAGGTAGTTTTCATAAACTGTTGTCTATGCAGCCATTACATTCTTCAGATTTGTTTCAAACTTTTTCTGAGATTCTATAAAGTATTGTACAGTAAGGTACAGTTCTAATGAAACTTAGTAGGGACTTTCAAGATGTGCATTCCTATAATAAACGACTCATTGCTTCTCCTGTTCGGCATGTTTAAAATAAATTACGTTCACTTTCATAATCTTGTCTTCTAATAACCGTTGTACACACGTTCTAGTATCACTATGATTTTTTATTCTTAGACATTGGTATTGATTGGTTCATGAAACCAGATAGACAAGTCTCTCGTCCGGTTTAGTTGTAAAACAATTGGTCTCCTCTTGGTTTTCTTCAGTAGTACATGCTCATGAAAAATTTTGGTTCAGGTCCGAGTAAATTGTTTTTAAAGCCTAATAAACAAGTAGGCAAGAATGTATCGATCCAACATCAACTCATTGATGTTTCTCTTTCCCTACTGTCCTGTAAGTGACCTTCATGTGGTTTCTGGTCGCTTCTATTGGTCAAAAAAAACTAAGTTTTTATGGAAGGGCTATGATAAGGACCCATTCATTCTATACCCTTCACCTTATTAATCTGTCTATTTTGTTACTCGTTTTTGATTATTTGCGTTTCCGGTAGTTATTCACAACTTGATATAACTATGCCTATTTTTTTGATTTCCGTTTGATGTAGGGTGATAACTTGGATCAATACACGATCGACACGGGCCATATGTCTTTGTGAAGTCTATCTTGTTGAATAAAAATAAGTGGTTTATTTTGTCCTAAGCATAGTTCGTATACACTGCAATACTCCTACACGAGTATCCAATTTATATGCTGTTGTATACGTTATCAACGCCACTTGAACACAGGGAGTTATTTCATCATTTGTTTTGAGATAAGGAGTTTTACCTGCTTGTATTCGAGTTCCCAGAATAAAACGGTCATTAAATTCATTGTCATAAACGGTGTGAAATGTGTAGATTTGCTTAAACATTCTCATCACTAACTGTCTTTTAACGGTACACCTCATACTAAGACAAAAATATTAGTCAATCGCTTAATTAAATGATGTATCAGTAGCTTACTTTATTCGTTTGTTGAAGTTATTCATAAATTTGTTCAGGATAGTGATGGTCTGGTTTTTTACTTCATTTTTCTAGATAACTTAACTTCCTTATCGTCATTGAACAGTGACAGTGATGGTTCGGAAACCAAGTGCCGCATTTCAGAGTCTACTGAGAATCCAAGTGTAAATAAATCGTCTATGAAACTATCTATACCTCTTCTACCTACTCCAACAAAAAGAAAATCACACAAAAGGAAGCGATGCAACGAAACACATTCAAGACCTAGTTTCTCCAACGGTATGTCAGCTGTCCCTCCTAGCTGTGATTCCAGTTCATCCGAGCTTTCAACAGCGTCTTTCGCGGCTAAAACACAACGAACTATACGCATAAAACCGTTGCCTTTTAGAAGTGAAAACAACGACATTCCTCTTTCTGTGAAGGAAGGCAATCAATCTCTCCCTCGATTGACCTGTGTTGACAGTCATGTCGTGCGTACAGAACCTGTACACAGTATATCGTCCTCATCCTCTGCTGCATCTGGTCCTTCATCGGACCGTACAACTGTCCCTGCCCTTGCCTCTTCTGGTGGCCATACCCCTCCTGATTCCTCAGCTTTTTCGGCCTCATCAACATACTCTAGTTTTTCTAAGAAATCGCGTGGACGTCCGCCTAAGACTCATAAATCTACCAAGTCCTCTTTGCCTTCAGCGAGTGCCAAATCTGCCACCGAAAATCCTGATGACTGTTCTTCCACCCCGTTACTGTTATCTGCAAGAAATACCTATGAGCCCCCAGCTAAGAACAAACATAGTCTTCTTACAGTGCCGATAAGTTCTCCTATCCGTTCGGATAGACTAACCGTTGCAGATGAAGATAAAAAACACCCAGTGTGTTCTTTATCCCCACCTTCATCTCTGTCAGATGCGGAGTCGGATTTGTCTTCTCTTTCTTCTTCATCTTCCACCGTGTCGTCATCATCATCTCAGTTGTCTTCTTCCTCGTTGTCTTCAACATCCACACTTTCATCTCCTGCTCTACGATTATCTTTCTCTACACTAAAACCAAAAATAAATGACGAACTGTCGACCGCTCGAGTCAAGCAAAAGTCGTCAAAAGACATATTAACACCCTTCCAAAGTCAGTTAACTCTCAAAACACGCGATAATAAGGAAGGGACAAAAGGAGCTGATAGTAGTCAACACGTTCCCAAGTTAACTAAACCAAATAAGTCGTCTCGCCATAACTTGGAAACGAAGGGACATTCCCGACCGTCTTCGCGATCTACTGCTATAACTACTTTCAAAAATACAGATTTGAATAATGACTACCAAGATGAAGACGTCGGATTCTGTATGGTTTCTCCTGAAAAGAGTCTAAAACCTGATAAGGTAAGTTAATCCATACTGGTTCTCTTTTGCCATATACTTCTTTTTTGATCTAACCAATAATCTAGTGAGTTGATCATATGTCTAATAATTTCTTAGTATTTACAGGATTAGCCAGATAATTTATGTGGTTCTATCCATAAAGCACTACGTAGTCTGTACAAATACTAGTGCTAATTAACTTTGAGATTGTTTAGAAAGTCAATAAATACATGCTTGTGTTGTGGTCTAGTTACTGAAGGTCGCTTTCTTTTGATAAATTTCTAACTTTAGGTAACATTTATTCTCTCACAACAATTCTTGTATAATTTAATATGACAAAAATAATTCACCAAGAATACCAGTTAAGAAGTTAAATAATGGTTGTTTCTAAAGAAATATTTTCCTTTAAGCTTCAACTGTAAACGTTTACATTCTGATACGAATTTATATAATGACTGAAACTTGTCAAAGACCCCCATGTGGACTAAATTAGTTGCAGTTGATTCGTCGAAAGTGTAGCTTTGTTTAAAATATGCCTAAAGAAGAATGCCCAATTCGTTTTAAACTACTTACGTTTGGTTAGCCAACATATATTGGTGTTGATTTCAAAGGAGTTCCAGGTATATCGTAATGAATTTCCCAAGGATTTGTACTACATATATGTCAGCAAATGATGATAATCACATTTGTCTTTAGGAAATTCTAGTTTTAAATACCTTATTGCTGTCGTAGCCTTTCACTAGACTAAAATATCTAAGTATGCGTGAATTCTCGGTGTTCACGTTTTTCATCTGAATGGCATTCAGTCCTTTTTAAACAGTTTATTTCGTGGCTATTGGTTTTATTATCTGATTGGTTAATCTAGTAAAGACAAACGCTGGTACTTTTTACCATTCTTAGTCAAGTAAACTAAATCTACATGTACGTTATTTGCATGCTTCTTTAAAGATAAAGGAAATGTCGGCTTTTGGAAATTTGGCTAGTAAGGAATAAAGTAACAATAATGTTTGTATGATATGTAATTCAGTGTTTTGCAGCTAAACTGTCTATCTATTTCTATTTTTTAGCCAACCGGGATTCTGCGCATTCCTGGCGATGGTAGTAATTCTGTTGACAATAAATCTCTGGGTTCTTCGGCACCCAACTCATCCGTCAAAAACTTCACTTTTGATAGCCCTAATACCAAACTCAATTCTAAAACCGTTCATCCTTCTGGCTGGTCTAGTGGGACAAAAATATTGTCTACATTTAATGATCAGTCATCTGCAGCGCCTCAACTTACTCACCCAACTGGAGCAAATGTCTCCACAGGTCCAACTCCTCCTTCGAACTCTTCAGCATCTTCTTCATGTTACTCTTCGGTGTCACCAGCTGCTCTTTCGTCCACGTCTGGTTTAGGTTCTAGTTTAAGTGATCCAAAATCAGTAGACGCATCACCTGGTGAAGTAGCGACCATGCTAGGGAATGCACCTTTTTCTTGCTCATCAGGCAATGGCGGTGGACTAGTTGCTCATTTGCAGTCTGATAGCAATATGATAAAAGCTGAGGTGGGTCTTAATTTTAAAATATACAACTATATTATCTACTTTTTTGATGAATGTTTTATCTTGTAAGGAGTTTTATATTTATCGCTCACCAATTTTTGTTATTTTTTTGTCACTGAAACCGTCATTTCATATTACTTGTCTTGCAATTCTCTTATACAACATCAAGTGTTGTACTAACTAATGTACTCACAAAATGAATCATTCTCAGATTATTAATCTAAACAGCAACTGTCTTATCTCGTGTACTGTGCTCTTAAATAGTTACAACACCAAAAAGATTGCACCTACATGCTAAACATTAGAAAACTTCGTTTTAATTTTAATGCAAAGCTTACTAAAATGTCATTTCATTTTAAACCTTTTATTATGTATGTAGTTGATATCTCAGTATTTTGTAGTTCAGAACATATTAAATGAAGCCATAGCTCTTGTGACATCGAGAAGTCAAGGGATCTAAGTTTAAAGAACTTACACAATGTTATTCTTTTCCAGGTTCATCAAGCTCGATTTAAAGAAAAATAAACCGTGTTAATAAAAAGACTTGGTTCCTAGTTAATTATACATTGTAGTTGCTATATTGTATTTTAAAGTTCGTTTGGTCAACTTCTTAGTTTTCGCTATTCAAATCGATATAACTCACGAAATCTTTCTTAACTACCTCTCAAGTTTTCCATCAAATCCAAAGTTAAGCTTTTTGATCCGATTTCGCTTTCGTGAGCGTAGACATATCTCTTTCTGAAGATCCTTAGTTAGTTTATTTAATATTTTAATAGTGTACCTAGTTTAACACATTGATTTCCGTTTCTGTTTAATTAACACGGCTCGCGAATTGTCAAAGGTATTTTTCCAAAACTTTTCAACGTTCTCTTTCGGTCGTTATATTTTGTGAAATTCGGTGAACAGACAGGGAATGTTTTCGTACAACTTAAGACCTAGTTCATTAGACTTTAGTAAGGTAAATAAAAATCAGTACAGTAATAACCTTGGGTATTTTATTATTGACAATTAATTCTGTCGTACTTCCCCGACTTGAATCCTACGCCATCTTACACTAGTTTTCTTTGAATTCAAATCCTCAGTAAAAAGTCAGTTTCTGTAGTACCTCAACTATTTTTTGTGATATCGTTTATTGAGAATCTCTTTATTAGTAACGTGGAGATTTCTTATATACTGGCCATATGTATATACGTACACACATCTTTTAGCTGTATATTTGTTTTAACACAATGTCCACATTTTAAATCCACAAACATTCTTATTTCATTGTTTTTAGGAACGCATTCATCGGATATATGCTGATCGACTTATTGCCTTGACAACTGAAAGAGACCAAGCTCGGGAGGAAGTTCATCGACGCGACATTTTAATCTCTGAACTTCGTCGTGCACATGAAGCTGAGATAAAACGTGTTAAACAACGAACATGGTGTCAAGTGTGCTTAAATGAGGCCTTCTACCACTGTTGTCCCGGAACGGCATATTGTTCAGAAACATGTCAGTTTGAACACTGGACAGCTCAACATAATCGCGATTGCCGTCGTCGAACAGAGTCACAGCAGCAACAGCAAATTCGTAGCTAGCATAGTATAGACCAAGCGTATATATATGCTCTTCAACTCAGTTTCATTCCCTCCAACCCCGTTTCTAGTCGTTCTTAACTAACTTCTAAGAATTAAGTTTTTTTAAAGTTTGGCAGCCGTGTTAGTGATGGAAGAATCAATTTTACCCTATTATTATTATTATTCGCGTCAGAGTCTCGTGGACTGTTGAGCGCCGCTCAATCACCGTTTTTTGCTTCATAATATGTTTGATAGCGTATAGTCTTTCTTTATCTCACGATGGCATTGTGATAATAACGCGTTCTTAGAATTTTATCGTTATTGTAAGTAGAACTAGTGATACTAAAACTAGTAATCATGAGCTTTCTCACAACTATTCTTTCTTGACAGACCTAGGACTGCGCTAAACCCAGGAGCCAATAAATTTATTTCATTCATGATACTTCTAAATAGATTTAATATTCCTTTCTTAAACTGATTATTTGCAGATTAGTGAATTTTCCTTAGTTCACTGCAATTATTAACTTCGTTTATGACATTAGTGCTGTGAAGCGCAAATAACATCATACATCCTGTATCGCGCTCCTTCAATCCTCTTGTCTGATATTTGTGCTTTGTTGCGCTCATTTAAGTATATTTGTTTTGTTGTTACTTTAACATTCTTCAGTGTGTTTGATAGTCCACACGCACAAATACATAATCGTATATGTATGCATAGATATACACATGTAAATCAATCCCCTGTTTTTGTTTATTTTTCTATATCTTTTCATTTTTGTCTGTGATTCATACTATCTGATCTTCGTTTCTCCTGTCTTATGTTTTCCCTTTCATACTACTGCGTTAAAAAATTAGTCTGTTGTACATGTACATACGTCTCACTTAATGTTGTTTTGCAACAAATCCAAGATGCTTATTAAATTAGCAATTTAATAGTTGTAGTTATGTATTATTTACGATAACTCATATAGATCTAAGCTCTTGTCTTCTACCTGCTGCTGAAATCTTTCGTTTATGCGTAATATTTTAAATCAATATATTAGTATTTTTCAAATAGCCATTATTTTGTCCTAAGAATCCTTTTTTTGTTGGAGTTTATTCCTTCATTGCTTGTCTTATTAAAAATTGCTATTAATAGGAGGTTGAAAGTTTTAAGTATCCATAAACGGGAACGCACATGCACAGTTCGTTCATTCATCTATGTATACGGATAAAGATGTAGTGACGGAAGAATTCAGTAAGACTTGATACATATATATACTTTTGCAAATTTTAGCAACATGTATTCATAACTTGTCTTATCTCTACATTTATATAGCAGCAGTTACCCATATAGTATAATAAATAATATGTTTTCGAAATACTTCATAATAATTCGTTTTTTTACTAGAAGCAAATAACTAATTTCTTTTTCTCTTCTATCTGTACAGAAACAGTTGTAAATTTTCTTTTGTTTTTTTGTATACTTGTATGTATTTTTTTGTTGTTATTGTCATTTGTTAAACGTTATATTTTATCCTAAAGTAAATTGCTTTTTGAATCTAATGGTAGTCTACTCTGATATAAATGATTGTGAACAATCGGAATTTTTAAAAATCCCTATTTCAAATTGTTAAGGTGATATCTTACTGTGTTCTCAATATAAAATAGGTTGCAGTCTAGATACATTTTCTTCGTTTCAAGTCTCATTAAATTCGTGATTATTTAAATATATAAAGTGCTTTCATACAACTATTGTCATTATTTCACCAATTGTAAGTCTCAAAAATGTTTTTCTACGGATTTATTTTGTTGCCCAAACACATACTGTGCGTAGGATTTGTGTTGAGCTTGACCATGCGTTTTTCCTCACGTAAATTTTCCAGACACTATTGCTACGCAACTTGATTTCCAATCCATTTCCGTAAATAGTCGATATGTGAGAAACCAATATTATTTCTTCGCTATTACTTATTTCTGTTTCTTCATACTGTAATGTGCATTCTTTTCCCATTTTTATCATGGTTGGTTCCAGTACAACCATCAGCAAAGTAAGTTTAGTTTTTTTTATATGGCACTGTACATGTACATTTCGCAATTTCGTTATTGCACAAGTTCATTTAAAATATTAAGTGTTCTTTCTAACATTGTCAATTTCTTACTTTTTGGGTTGGGAATCTTCAATAGTTAATGATCTGTCGTTTTTTCTCAGGAACGCTATTGGACTAGTATGTTTTAAGGGATATGATGGTCGTATGTTTTACGCCTGATTCACTTTTATTCTGTTCTTTTTAGAAGAATAGTCATAACATTGAATTCATGGTTTCTTTTGAGGATATTTTGTTCTCTAAACTGGAGAGCGCATAACATCCTGAGCTACAAGTATTCCTTACCATCCCCCACTTCATAGTTTGACAACCATTTGTTGGGACCTGTTACTACGGTGTCACTAAAAGGCTTTTTGTTTCTAGATGTTCCATTAGGTGCACTTTAGACCAACCAAAATCAAGACTAAGACTGAACGAACGCATAAAATCGCTCTCTGTTAACTGCTCATCGAACCAATATAATATGGTATTGTTATCTGACCAACAGCTCATATTCTTTGTATTTATTAGATCTTTACATTACGTAGCTGTTTATGTCTAAACTTTGTGTTTTTTCCATCACTATAATAGTTTTTAATGTCAAATAGTACTTCAGGTTGTCAATCGATTTTAGTTCTTTCTGGAGTGAATAAACTACTATGGAGTAGTTAAGGTTTTTCTCTGCTAGTTTATTACAAGTGCGATCGATAGACCAAATGTACTTTTGTGGCTTTTTACAAATTCATTCATTTGATGAATGCGTAACTTATACGCACAAGGTTTATTCACGGTTCTTAAGAATTCATTGCTTGTGGATTCTAGTTTATACACTTACGGGGATTTGTTTTTCGAAATCCCAGTTCTAAATTCAACCTTTTTCTACTTTCATTTCGAGACTAATGCTTATATGATAAATTGATAATAAGGGTTTCTCTATTTTTACAACTATGATAGGCTTTGTCCGATTTTCCGTCTTCGTATTTACGTATTCAAGTATGGAGACTGCAGACCGGTGGCTTCAATATTTGCTTCTGACTCCTGTTGTTATATTATTCCAACCGTTGTAAATCGCCGAAGACGTTCTCGGTAGATATGTAGATAAACTAGGCATCCAATTGTCCTTGTCCTTATTTCTGCATATTTTAAGCGCAACTATCCAGGTTTGTTCACTTCATATTGTAAGTCAATAATAAAAACACGGAGAGAATAAGTAATAGTATTAAGTTAAATTTGTAGGCTTTTGGATTTGTTTACAGAATAGAAATAGATTAGTCTAGACCACCTTACACGACAGATTCGTTTGCTATTGGTGGACTACCTAGCTAGCGCAATATCATATCGTCTAGTTTGAAGTCGTTGGATAGACCCAGTTATTGTGAATATCCTCCAAAACTTAACAGGGAGTAGGAATTCGGTCAATACAGAGAAATCCTTGTTCTTTAGTTCTATGATTACTGGCAATACCAACGAAGGGGACTGTACCACCATCGACTATTCCAAACCATACGTAATTTCAGCTCGTTTAATTCCATCATTTCTGTTCACGGATGTAAACGTGATGCAGTGTGTTGCATAAGAAAGTATCCTATTTGAGCGCTGTATCAATATCATCCCATATTGCGATCTACAAACTGCCATTTGATGATCTCAATAACTGGTATTTTTAAACAACAATCTTCTTTTAGTGTGTGTTGTAACAGCTAATGTAATTTTGGTCCATATCTAGCTATAAAAGATCTAGTGTACAACGTGTTGATAAAGACACTTCTGTTCCTCACTTACTAAAAGAATAACTCACATTTAGTTACAACACAGTCATTTTCGGATCCAATAGCTTATACTTAGTCATCGCTTAGTTAATGGGGCGATTAGTGCTACATAGAATCTCTAGTTTCGATGACTTCAGCGGGCTGTGCACATGTATCATTACCAAGATCTGAGTTGGTAGTTTCAAATAAATTGAACATTAGGTACATTATTAAATTTTGCCGTCATGGCACAACAGAATTGCAATAGATTTCTAAATCATGCAGAATTATAAAACAACGAACACTTCGAAATCCTATCGTTCAAATAAAAGATTTCTATCAACTCAGAACTGCGTCTGCAGATTGGGATATGTTGACTTCGATACATTACTTGTTAGAGTCTCGTGAAATCTCAACCCACTCCAGAGAAAATCTAACGTATATTAAAAGGCCAAATAATCATGTAGAAATAGTTTTACAAATCAATAGTAGTACATGCTCTTCCTAATAAACATCAAACCGGCATGTATATGATATCAAAATAATTTAAAATATTTTATCGACTTATAAAGAAAGTGAATATCTGAAGCTCTCTATACATTGCTAAACCCCTCTGCGGTTAGTGGAAAGGAATACCTAGTGATCCTTCCAACATGAACATTTATTTAAATATTCACACATTTAGTCCTGTTCATGTCTCACACCATTAACAAAACATGCAAATACTGTAGTATAATAGTGGTAGTTTTGGGTTTATAACTGTATAGTCTGATGAAGAAACCACCAAGAACGGTCGTTTACTCTAACACTTAAATATTTACAACCATACACTTCCATACTACAATTATCACATCTTCCACAGTCACTAAGGTGCACAAATGGTCTTCACATTGAATCAACTCAACCAAAATGACCTGGTATTAACATGATTGGACCTAAAACAATCCGTTTCGTTTCCTTCATACTATTGATTTGTTTACTTATTTTTATTCACTGAAGAAGTGGCTTACATTAAGTCACAAAAAGTTAAGGAATTAATTATTTATTGAAATTTCACAAACATTATTTCTAGGTCATGTATATTTTATAAATGTATTTTGATTACCAGGGATCACTGAACTATATTCGTTCGGTTTAATACTGGAAATCGCTATTACTTCAGACTTTGTGTTCCTGAAATGTCGAAAGTCTACATCATTCACTTCTACTTCTCATCATTGCTCATACATACATCGTGAGCTTCAATTAACCCTATAATAAAGTTTCATGGTATTTAGTGTTGTTTCCTATCATTCTTCACTAAGTTGACAACAATCATGTTGAAACAGAGTTTAAGCAAAATTGTAAGCATTAAGTATTCTGAGGAATTTGAACATGGTAATTGATGCGAAACTACGAGTTGAGAAATTTTGGCAAGACTAATCTTTTATTACATCAAAGCTCTAAGCGATAATAACTTAGGTTGGGGGCCATAAATGACCACCAACGTTTACGTCAGTCCTTGGAAGTTGCTACAACTCCTTTCAATCAGATGATGCGCAGAATAATGTCAAAAAGTTTTTTTCCGTCCTAAAAGTTACTATCGATTTCTCAGATACTCTTAGGGAATGTTACGAAGTAACTGCATCTCATGAGACAAATCGTTAACATTGGTTACATATTTTATGAAACGGTTTGTAACAAAAGATTCGAGAAATTTAGGAAATGATAAATGTCTTGAATTTAATAAACGCAAGTGTTGTTGGAATTATGTAGTCTGTGGTTTAGGGATAAGGTTGATCGCGAGTTCGATCTTTTTCAAAATGCTCCTTTGTTGATGGGAAGGTATCATCGCTGAAGAAGCAAGAAATAATCTTCGAGCCAACAGAAAATAATCATCGTAAACTTCATTTGAAGTTTCAAAATATCTATTTATTCATTCTGTTACTCTTCAAGTTTACTACCTTCAACCTTCTCCATCCTTCACACTTTATGAAATGAAAATAATTCATCTAATAGTGTAATTTTATATATGTAAACTGATTGAAAATATAGTTTTATCGCTAAGTTTTATTTTTAGGCCTTTCGAAATTGTCACATATCGATATTTCTATGGTATTAATTTTTTTAAATAGTGACCTTTACAGGTGATCAAACCCAAGGGAATCATAGATTGATCATTTAAAATCATATCTCTAGCAGGAAAATGAATGGGTATAAGATTTGTAGAATTTCGGAGTTTCAACTGTATAAATAATAATTATGCACATATAATCACAACCATCATTCATAAACCAATGTAAATAATAAATGAAAATACTATATTGTTGGTGGTTAGTTCTGGGATATGCATACTACTTATAGGTAGTGTGAATTTTCTGTTTGAAACATGTAGTTATAAAACGCCTTCTCCCTCCCCTCCCCCATTACACATACTCATCAAAGTGATGTTCCATTTCTATTCATTTATCATAGATATACCTGCTGAAATAATTTTTATTTTGTTTCTTCAATCCATTTAATAGATTATTTCTTATCTCAGTCATCTACAACGTAGGACCAAGCACATATATGCATCGGTCCACGTTGCCATACCTCGTTAGCACAACAAGATCAACACCGAATTCATACAATTAGTTAATTTAGTGGTGTTAACATATGAAAGGAAGATAGATATGAAGCAATTTTAATCTCAAGGTTTAAAGGAAGATAAAGAATGTATACACCTGCGCCATTGTGATCGATTCTGAGCCATGTCACCTAGAGTCTCCAACCATTGGTTACGATAGTCACACGAACCCTAACCAAATAGTCTGCATCTACCTCTAGCAGCACTCAAGATCATTATTCATATTTGTTATCTAATTTGTAAAAAAAAACAATTATTATCATAAAGAAATTACAATTATTACATGAATTGTTATATCGATTACTGTTATTGATTTTTATCAATCACATAAAAAAATAACACCATTGATAATAATCAATTTATAAAATCAATACATTTAATTAATAATAATCAATAATATTTCTCATTGTAATAAATAACCTTTTATATATCTAAGTAATAAATCGATCGCAAAAAAAAATCACTCATAGAAAAAATGAAATTTTATTAATCTACTTACTGAATTATAATTGAATTAATTAACTAGACATAAATGTTTATTAACGGATTTATTAAGTGAACTTTTAATAATCATAACGAATTCTTAACATTATTGTTTTATTAATAATTGAAATAATATATTGATGAAAAAGTAGTAAATTCATTAAAGTTTTTATCTTCATTTCAGGCATTTGTTGTTAAGAGTTTGAATAAAATTCTCATACATACGAACAAATACAGATGAAGACAGTAAATGTAGCAGCAGCAGCCTCTGCATCAATAGACCTCAACACAAAGAAAAATGCAAGATTCTCAAATGCAACATGGAGAACACCAACCAAGTCACACTTGATGGTAAAACTCTAGAAAAGGTGGAGTCATTCACGTACCTGGGAAGCACAATCGATTAACAAACAGGATCTGATGCAGACGTAAAAGTGAGGATTGGCAAAGCAAGGACAGCATCCCTACAATTGAAAAACATATGGAACTCAAAACAACTCTCAACCAATATCAAAGTGAGAATCTTCAATATGAACGTCAAGACAGTCAGTCCTACTGTACGGAGCTGAAATGTGGAGAACTACTACATCCATCGTCAAGAAGGTACAACTATTTATAAATAATTGTCTATGCGAAGTACTCAACAACCACTGACCGGATAGCATCAGTAACAGCCTTCTGTGGGAGAGGACAAACGAGATTGCAGCTGAAGAGGAAGTTAGAAAAAGACGTTGGAAGTGGATAGGACATACATTGATGAAATCGCTAACTTTGAATGGTGAAGGGAAGTGGAAAAGAGGAAGGCTAAAGAACACATTACTCCTGGAAATAGAATCAGATATGAAAAGGATGAATGTTAACTGGAATGAACTGTAAAGGATTGCTTGGAACAGGGTTGGATGGAGAGTGTTGGTGGGCGGCCTATGCTCCTCCATGA